CTCGTCAAATACTACCCGTTCCCTCAGTCGTCGAATGGCCCGCTCGCGGCGAACCATGCCGTTCGTGATCTTAGGACAGTAGTTCGGTGGAAGCATGTTCCTCTTGCAGATCGGGCACAGTGAGCTGTTGAGACTCAGGAACTCGTCGATGCACTCGGGATGAAAGATGTGACCGCAAGGTAGTTCGCGAATAACAGAGTCCCGGTCCACGTAGTTCTCCAAGCAGATGTGGCACTGGGGCTGATAGTTCGTAGCGACGGTGCTTTTCGAGCTGTTGACGCTAGCTCTTCGGGCCCTCGATCTCGGGCCGGCGTATTCGGATGTTGTTCGCTGGTCATTCCGCATGCTTCGCGGTGACCTTACAGATTTGGGTGGCCTTGTTGTAGAAGGTGTGCTGATCATTTCCGGCTGGAAACTATACGTGAAAAGCGGGAAGTCCTTGACGTGATCGACGGGCACGGTTACTCGTTTGATTCCCATCGCTTCCAGGTCAACTTCCCCGCTGAGTACCCTCCTTCGTAATGAGATTCTCCGTCTTCTTTGTACTAGGTGCATCGTGAGTGATAGACAGGCGATGATGAAAATTACGACGCCAACAACCGTGAGAATCCATGTCCACATGGCAGGGACACTGTCGCGGTCCTTAATGGTTAGCTCCGTCCATATACGGACATAGTCGTTATCGTGAGGGTCGTAGATCTCCTGGATTTCCTCTCCATAGGGAATTTCGGAAATGTTCCCAGAATAGAGGCTAAGCTGCTTCATAAATTTGGTGCCTTCGGCTCCCGGCACGGCGAAAATTGGAAACCGGTTCTGGGTGCGCCATGCATCGCCATCTTCAAGGTCCCATATCGGTGAGTCGGCGCCCTGGGGTTCATTCGTCGAATTATTAGGCCGGTAAAAGATAAAAGCGCGAATAGGATCGAGTCGTGCGGATGCAAGATAGGCCTTGGTACAGGTCGCATTAAACCATGGCGCAATCGCAATTAAGTTGTAGTTGGTGGGAGGAAGTTCTGCCTGTGTAGTGGCATTTCGGGGGATTATGTCGTACTGCTGCTCGAAACATGGGTTTGTGACGCTCAGGTCGGGAACGTATAGCAGGCCTCGAATGATGCCATCCTGCGTTTCGGTGTTTGTCGTACTAAGCGTAGTGAGGTTTGCTGTGATGGTGTCCTGGTAGGCTACCTTGCTCTATGCACATGGTTTAGAGGAAGACTTGAAGTAAGAACGGTAGCGACTAGACATACCGACAGGGAGGTGATGTTTTTGATGAGCGTCGAGGGGACGGTATTTGCGCCCGACCAAACGGGGTTACTGAACAGCAGACTGTGCAAAGGTTAGCTGGTGGTTGAAGATACGCAAGGTCGTGGTTGGGGAAATGCGGGTGGTGAGGCATTCGCGCCGAGGTCTGCCCACAGAGGCGCTGCGAAACAGTGACGCGGGTCAAGGCAGCTGCAGCGTGGTGCGACGAGATGGTGAGGGAGTCAACGGGAAAGCAGCAGAGAAGCGTGCGCATCAATGAGGAATACGGGGACGATGGCATCGAAAGCAGCGGGCATCTAAGAGAAGTTTTGCTGAGACATACACGACATTTCGAATCTGTTCGAGAGCTGTGAGACGTCAGTGAGTTGTGCCAAGACCGGGGGATTTTGGCACCTCTTGGCCGGCGCAAAAAAGGGAGAGCACGGCAGACGTTCATCTGCTTACTATGGGCAAGATAACCAAACGCATGATTTTTCTATTGTGTGTGTTGTGCTGGAAATGGAAAGGGTATACAACGACTTACACATGCTTCCCTCACATGTTCAACGAACGGGTTGAGGGTATTGAAACCATCAACCTGGTGTGAGTAAATCGCGGGTGGCTGCTCGGGAAGTGGAATCAACACCAGCTTTCAGGTGGGATAGCCAACGAACGAACGAGGCGGAAACGGCCGGGAAATTGGGGTCGTCGGGGACTTGGTCAAATGATTTCAAGGCCGATTCGGTCTGAGGTTGTCGAACGGGAAGTAGTAGTGTGTGGCAAGTCGGTTCAAGGCGAAGCTTACGATTTGAAACCTCCAGATCAAGGTCGAGTCGCGATCCGAGTCGAAGAGGATGAAATTGGTGAAATGGCAGGCAGAAGACGACCAAAAGGCGAGCTGAGGAAGAAACGATTGAATGGGAGGTCAGCGAGCTGGGGCAGGCGCGATTTTCAATGCCAAGCGGGGTTCAGGTCAGGTCGTTCCCAGTGCGCTTGCTGCAGGTGCGCTCTGTATTCGTACACACTGATCAGGTCAAAGGGAAAGCAAGGTCAGGTCTAGGTCCAGGTTCGGGTTCCAGGACGGGGGGTGAGAGTTGAGAGTGGGAATCGGGTGTGTACTGTGAAGTATGTGTGAGTGTGTGTGTGGTGGTGGTGTTGGGGGAGTTTGGGGAGAGAAGGGTGGTGGCCGGGTGGCATGGCATGGAGGATGACTTTGAACGACCGGGCACTGAGGTGAGGTGGACGACCAAATGGCTGGAGCATGGGGCAGGAGGTACGAAAGTACTCCGTACATGAGTGACGAGCACGGGCGAGGTATCCGCAGCCAAATTGTAGGTATCGGATCATCAGCAGTCTGGAGCGTCGGGCACTAAGAAGCAACCCGCAAGGTACTTTTTGTTCATACCTGACCTTGCCGGACATGGTATGTAAAGTAGGGGCGAGGGAACTGATGCACAGCCTCCCTGCCCTGTCCTCACACTTGCACTTGTCCTCGTCCTCGTTGTCGCTACCCGCCTGTCCCAGAGGAGGAAGAGCAGGTACTGCTGAAGTACCTTGGCTGTTAAGCTGCTGGGCCTTCCCACTGCCCTTGGCCACCGCACACCGTTAATTAGCTACCTGCCTAGTGGTTACCGCTGGTGTTCCGGCTGGCGTTTACATCCTACAATACGCGGGCTCTTCTGCCTTGTTGATTTCGAACAAGAGAAGAGTGTTACATGATGTACTTAACAACGACCTGTCAGGAGTGGACTGTGTACCAATCAGTTACCTGGACAGCAGATTGTGCACACCAGTCGAATGGAGAGCGTTCCAGGTTGAATACGGCGCAAGTGCAGTAACGGAGTCAAGACTGTCGTGGGACTCTCATGATGCGCGGATGGAATTGGACGCAAAGATGCAGCCAGAAGTTGATACGCAAGTACGGCACCCTACGGCACCCTAGGTACCTTACGGGTAGGCTGGCAGAGATGGTGGAGTGGATCGCGATGGAGACTGTTGAAAGTTCCCCGGTAGCCAGTCAGGATTCAGGAGGCCGTCGACCACACCTCACTACTTTGTACTCACGCTCCAGAGCCAAAGAGCGAGCACAACTATACAACAACCCAAGCTGGACGAGGCAAAGAGAAACACGACGGACCATTCGGAAGTAAGGGAATCGGGAGGGAAGAGATGTACCGGCGAGTACCTGCCGATGTACCTCGACTGCCTTACACTCACCTTAACACCTTACATAAGGTGATGGAAGGAAGGTTCTTCCCAATTGCTGTTTGTTCCTTCCCTTCCGACTCTGACTCCAGACGGTAGGTACCCCAGAGTCATTCGTGCCTGCCTGGAAACCTGGATACAGATCGTTCCTGACTTCTCATTGACGGCTCACGGGAGCTTCTCACCTCAGCCAACGCCCCGCACAACCTGAAATCACTTCACCTGCGCGTGTCTTGAGTCCGGGCATGTACCAATCACCAAATGCATCATCCCAGTGCATTCGAGCCGAAGAGCCGAACTCTTAGCACGACACGACACACCCACTAGAAACCACAAACTCCCAAGCAACTATTACGGGATGCCGGCGGGCAGACAAAACCAACAACAATTCCAACCACCAAAGCGGCTATTGTCTATACTTGGCTCCAAGTAGTCCCAGAGAATCAAGACCCTGTACCTGCAGCCCTGCATCTGCTTGCCCAACTATGTACGGATGCTATTCGACGTTGGTACGCATACAGAAAGAGAATGGACAAACCACAGCCGTTTCCATCTGCAAATCAATCATTCTGTTGCCGTTCTTGCCGTCCGTGTCGGTCACCGCATGCCACAAACAATCAAAGGAAAAAGTAAAACAGTCTCATTACATGTCCCCCGCCGTGCCGTGTTAGCCTGCACATCACACGGCTACGGATACACGGCATCCCCAGCCCAATGCTTCGACTGACGCCCATCGGATCGCATGTCATCATGGCTAAGCTTTCTTGTTACCTCGATTCCCTCCAAAGCTTGTCTGATCTTTCAACGACCTACCCAGTTCCCCCGTGCCGGCTCCCGCTTCCCACCCTCGCCGGATCAGCAAGTCATTATGGCACCCGCTTTCCCTCTGCGTTTCTCTCACGAGCTATGAAACCTCATAGGCTACCCTGGCTACGTTCCACATTGATAGCCCCAGGAGAATGGTCTTCCTAGTCTTCTCATCCGGGGAACGATTCGTGGCCTCCTTCTGATTCATTCCCGCTAAAATACCAAGCTAACACTGTGTGTCTTAGCGTGAGAGTCGCCAACTGCTCTGGGCGTTGCCGCCGCCGCCGCCTTCGGATACGGACACCAGCATCTCTCCGTTCAGTTTGACCAACAGAGTTGTCAAATCTTCTTCTCTGGTCCATCGTCCGCAACGGCGGTACTGCGATGCCCGATCTGATTACGACCAGTCGGCGAAGTTTGCCTCCTAGCCTCGTCGCATCGCAGTCTCTCCCACCTCCCCCTTTTCCCCTTGAGATTTTGAGTTTCTCCCACCACACGGGCCCGGTCTCCAGTCATGGGCAAGTTGTGCCGACAATTCCAGACGTTTTGCTCCAGCCGATGTGCATGACAGCTCGAACACGCCCGCCCGGGCGTTCTCGGCATTCATTCACTCGGGTCTCCCGGTTTGACGGCACCTTTCGCGTGGCTCTCTATCCGTACTACCGATACGATTGACGGTCGCCATACATGTATAGCGCTTTGCACATTATAACTCCTGCCCGACTTGCGTCTCAAGGAGTAATTTTTTCAAAGCCACGGGATTGGTAACTTCTTGGACCAAACATGGGCGGCTTCGCATCACTGCATTACTGCTTCAAGGCACAGCATAGGATCGTACCATTTGCGCAAGTAGCCCAACGCCAAATTGTTAGTCTGCGGCTCAAATCGACCGCTTTGCCAAACAGCACCGCTGCAAGACGCTCGATTGCATATCGTTGCCAATAGCCTGGACGCGCACTCTCAGACCGCCCCCTTGGCGCTCGACAATCGGAAGCGCACATTGCGTGGCCTGCGTGCTGTTATCCTCCACAAGGGCCAGTGCCTTTCCCTGCACCAAATCAGGATGGATACCGGCACCAACATCGACAGTCGGGATCCTACGATGTCTCTCCCGCTGCAAGTCAATCAGCGCGAAAAGCTTCTAGCGACCAGACCCTCCCTTCTAGTCCCGATTACTCGACCTCCGCCCGTTCTTGGCATCCCGACTTCATACCTCATCACGTTTGCTATCCCTTCAGATGGCAACAAGCCTCACAGAGGTACCACGTCTGCAATGGACTTGCTGGCAAATTCGAAATTATATGCCATGCCATTTGATTTTTCTTACATTCCCACTTGTCGCGATACTACTCTGCAAACTTCCTCCGGCGTCCGGACTTAGGCACCCTGAAGCGAAGGTACATGGAGAGTACCAGCGCTAGGTTCCCCTCACAAACGTGGGTGCCCAAGCAGACGTCATTGAAACATTGGCTACTCCCTGGGTCAGATCCACTGGGACAGGGGCCATCTCCCACACCTACGGTTGGCAATTTTACTGCTCTACCCTTGCCAATAGAGAACACATTTTCCGGCGAAACTGATCTGGTCTCGTCCGGAATGTTGCATGCTTCACCAATCCGAAAAATCAATTCTTGAACAATTACCCTGACTACTTCCATGTTAGCCGAAGGTGCCGGACAGCCGGCCTTGGTTTCCCCAGCGCCGTTCTCGGCAATCTGGAGGCTCCCGGCCGCGGCGGTCTGGCACCGTTCTGCTGTCTCAACCGGCAAAAAAAGCCGATCGACCCTCTACGTCACGTACTGATCTGTCGCTTGATTCGTCAAAGCATCTAGGCTGGCTGCGACACTGATACGCCCGAGAACAATGGCAACGCCAAAGGAATCTTTTGACGGGCTGCCACTGAACCCTGCCTTTGACCGCGCGTCTTCTGCACAATGTTGGCAGATTCCACGATACAGCAGGTGTTCGCCTTTTGTGGCTGTGTCAAGATTCCTGAGGGTTCCTGGGCAACATTGAATTTTCAGGTGAAGATCTTGGCTCTGGCTTGGCTTCTTAGATTCCGTACTGTTGTGGCCTCAAAAGCACCTAGGGACGGTACCCGTTACCTGCCCAGAACACAGCCACGCAGCACAGCCAAACTTGACAGCATCGTTCATTTCAGGATGCAACTAGATGATGGCCGGCTAGAGGAGTGTGCTTTGAGTATGTCGTGAGATTCATACATCTGGTTAGCTACTCCGTAGGCTAAGAGAGATCAATGGCTGGAGGGGCAAATCTGCTCGCTTGATCACCACCACCAACATGGAGCGGGTTCTCTTGGATGGGCCGCTCTTTAACCCCTTCATGAACTGGACTTCTTGGCTCAGTTTCCAAGGCGAAGCTCGCTACGAAGGCTCTCTCGTTCTATATCAGTCACAGCTCTTGGCATTTGATTCCAGATGGCCCAACGACCGGCACACTACGAACGTCGGTTACTTTACGTAAGGTGGTCCAAGACCATTCTAGGGAGATGCCAGAGTTTTCGGAGCAAATCATAGTCAACTCCAGCGCGCTGAAACTTGAGATTTATAAGGGGAAAAAAATTCCCCCGGGAGCGGATTAAAAGCCCATCACTGGCGCCTACAGCCACTCTTATTGATGATCTCAGCCGGGCAAGTCACCTGACGGAAGGAGACGCTCGGATTATCGGCACCTTGGAACCAGTCGAAGCGCCAGTAGCACCCGGCCTTGAGCTTCGCCGGGAAGCCGTCACACTCGGCCCTGGAGCTGACACCGCCGTACCGCTGGCCCCACCCGTTGGCCGGCGCTCCGTACTGATCCGTGCAGGCGTTGAACTGGCCCACGCCGCCGCCGGGGATCTGTTGGCACGACATGTTAGTATGGGATTTCTTTCTTCGCAAAAATCTTGTTGCTTCCGACGGGGGCCGTTCTGATGGTCTCTCTGCCGCCATGACGGAGCTTGGTCTCATATAACGGCTTCCCTCCTGTAAGTTCGTCTCCGTTTTGGAAATCGTCACTTCGTCAGGAGCGTCGACGTCCTTTCAGTCCCCCACTTGCATATCCGACAGTTCCCAGGAGATTGTTATAATCCGCAACAGGACGAGGGCAAAGGGTATCTATCACAAAAACCAGAAAACAGGAAACAGAGAAAGAAAAGAAAAAAAGAAAAAAGAACTAACCGCAATATCAAAGTGATTCTGCCCCAAATCACCCCCCGTATTCGTAGCCTGCACAACCATCTTCTTCCCCGCCACGGCGCCGCTCGTAAACGTGAGCTCGTAGCACTCGCAGCACCACTGCGCCTCCGTGCCCCCCGTGATGCGCACGGCGGCCCAGCCGTAGCTCAGGTCGTCCGACACGGCCCAGGGCGACTGAGCGCTGCACATGTAGGCGCTGCCGCCCGAGTCGCATCCGCTGCGGGTGGCGCCGCCGTCGGTCAGGGGGTTATCGTTGCGGTCGCAGGTCGTTACGGGGCCGGTGGCCAGGGAAGCTTTGCCTGGCCAGGCGCAGGAGGGTTTGCAGCAGTCCCAGTAGCGGGTTGTGCTGCCTGTAGATTGGCCGTGTGTTGGGAGGGGGAGGAGGAGGATGGGGAGGAGGAGGAGGGGTAGAGGGGAAATGACTTGCATTTTGGGAGGTGTGTCTTTGTTGAGATGTTGTTGATATATTGTTGATGGCTGTATGGCTTCGTCGTGGTATTCTGTGAGATGTGATGAGTTACCTCGGTGATGTAGAATGTTTGGTGTAGGCTTTCTAGTGATTATATAGACCGTTGAACAGTCAAGAGTCGAATGGAGCCGAGGACGGAATATGTCGTATATCACGGATCATAAAGAAATAGGATCATCTGGGTGATGATGGGAAACGTAAGGGCAACAGTTATCTCATTACCTTCCAAAAGCCGGACAACTCATCCGGCCCTTTTCATATCAATCTAAATCCTATCACCTTACGCTCCCTCCTTCTCCCTCGGCGTGATACCTCCGTTTTCTCCATTGAACCCCAAAGTAAATGACAGGGTGAATATTATGTTGGGGGGGGGGGGGGGGGGGCTATTTTACATGTCATTACCCAACTTTACCCGTACCAAGAAAACTACAACGATAATCCCCCCCCTTCTCTGCCGTCCCGTCCCCCCTCATGTTCCATGAAAGAAAAGACCGCAGTAGTATAGCGTGGGATTTGGCCTCGATGAACCTCCTCCTTTGATCACTGAACCGTTCATCCCAGCTAATTCACTGTCAATACTAACACGCGTGTAACTTGGCCGGAGGAAAAGGATTTCAACCCCCCCCCCCCCCAATCTACCAGAAACAAAAGACCTCCAAAGACACGGTGGAGCGCGAGGGCGCATGAAGAATTGAAATATATAGCAAGACTTGGCTAAAGTCAAAAGGCCAAAAGATACATACATCAATAACCGCCGTGACCAGCCAGCCAGTCTACCTTTACCCCAGAAATTCAACTTCATCACGGGATCGCGGTTCGTATGCCCCAACGTTTCGGCGTCCCGGCCAGAGATTCCCGTGACAGATCGGGCGTTGGCTACCACTCTTCCCCGCAAAAAAATGCCGTTGAACGATGCTGCCGTGCCCGTCTACCTGGACACTAGACAGGGTAATAAGGGTAGCATCCGGAACGTATCTGTCATGTCCTCCATTCTCCATGTGGTAAGAGATCAGTCGGGTCGACTATGCTGTTGCTCGATGGCGCATGATAATACGGTCATCCGGCACTTAATAGCCGTGATTGACGATGGACTGAAAGCTGGACGTCACTCAAGCTGTCAAATCTAGTAGAAGACTGATACCCATGAACCTTGGGGATTAAGAAAATCAATGTAGTCTACATTTTGTGGCTGATCCTCACCATGCAACCTTCACATCACATACATCATCCAACACATTTGAACTCATACGTAGAAGCAAGACTTTTTGTTATTGTTCTTCGTTAAACCTGTATCCGTAGCTTAAACCCCCAAGCTACCCCTGTTCATAAAGCCAGTCGTCATCATCTACCAGAGTACAGCCGGCAGCAATCTTTGCCAAGAATCAAGAGAAACAGCCACAGCGGTCCTACCACCTGCGGTTATTGTTGTTGTTGTCGCCAAATTGCTCAGCGACCTTGCCAATGAAGTCGCCGAAGCCGCCGCCGCCGCCCTCCTCGCGGCGCTCATCGTCGTCGTCACGGCGACGACCATGGTGTTCCTCCTGGCGTCCGTAGCCGCCGCCCTCGTTGTCGTCGCGTCTACCGCCGCCGTAGCCGCCCTCATCGCGACGGCCACCGCCATACCCACCACCACCACCGCCGAAGCCTCCCTCATCTTCGCGGCGACCACCTCCGTAGCCGCCGCCGCCGCCGCCACCATAGCCGCCCTCGTCATGACGACGTCCGCCGCCGCCATAGCTCTGCTCTTGGCGGCCGTAGCTGCTCTCCTCCTCACGACGGCCACCGCCGTAGCCGCCCTCGTTATCATCGCGTCTACCGCCGCCATAGCCGCCGCCGCTGCCGCCGTAGTTGCTCTCCTCTTGACGACGACCGCCGTAGCCGTCGTTCTCGTCACGTCGGCCACCACTGAAGCCAGACTGGGTGTTGCCCTCGTACCGGTGAGTCTCGGTGCGTTGCTCATAGCCACCGCCGTAGGAGGGACGGGACTCGGTGGTCTCCTCGTACTCGCGGCCACTGGTCCGGCGTCCGCCGCCGCCGTCTTCTTGCTCATACTTGCGGTACTCGGTACGGCTGCCGCCACCAGGGTACTGGGTCTCGCTGTACTCGGCCTGACCATACTTGTTTCCGTGGTGACCGTACTCAGTCGTGGTCTGGGTGTAGCCACCATCGTCGTCACGACGGCTGCTATGCTGGGTCTCCGTCTCGTCCTTCTTGAAGACGCCTCCAAGAATGGAACCAATGAGACCACCGGCGCCGCCGCCACCACCACCACCGCTCTCCTCCTCCTCTTGCTGGTGCTTGTACTTGGGGACCTTAACTCCAGTCTGCTGACCAACGAGATTTGCGATGGCGCCAGACGCGCCCTCGAGAATGGCGCCGGCAGCTTGGTCGGCAACCTTGTCTTCCCAGTTCTTAGGCTCGCCGAACTGCTTGCGCATGTGGAGCTTTCCGCTGCAGCCGTGACCGTGTCCAGTGTCGTGGACACCTTCCTTGTGGTTCTCGCCGCGCTCAACACCCTCGCGGCTCAACTTACGGCGGTAGTCATCCTGCTGGCTTCTGTCCATGTTGTTCCACCACTCCTCAAAGAACTGGAAGATCTGTTGACGGCCCTCACGAGCGCCATCGTCTCCCATGTCACGCTGGGCAGGGTGGTGCAGGACACCAAAGATAATGCGGTTCAAGGTGCGGTTAACATCAACGCTGTCGTTATCGATGGCCTCCATGAGCTGGGGCACAACCCAGTGGAGAGTCTTGGCAGCGCAGCGGCCAGCAACCTCGTTCAGGATCTATTGAAGTGTTAGCCACAACTCTCGCCTGCTTAGTGGTGTATTACTTACGTTGGTGAAGTGGTCCTTGGACAACATGGAGTGGGTGGGGTCGGTGCTGCGGTCATCGTCAAAGACGATGTGCTGCTCCTTCTCACTGCTCTCGATAATCTCGGCGGAACCAGTGCGCAGCTCGTTGCGGATCTGGTTGATGACGGGAAGAATGAAGGGGGCAATGACCGAGAAGACGAATTTGGACAGTTGCTCTTCAAGCTGCTCAAGAATCTTGGGCAGGACGGGAATCTTCTCAATGGCCTCAGAAATGCCCTGCAAAATCTCGTCGTGGAACTCGATGGCAGGCATGATCTGCTTGAAGACATCCTGGATGTATCGGGTGTACTCCTCAGGCTCTCTGGGAGAAACCTGCATGTTCTGGAGCTGCGACGAGGTCGCGTTGCTCTGGAGCTCGTCCACCCGGTTGCTCTGGTGCTTACCGCCAAAGATACCATCGGGAATCATGTCCAGAAGGTTACGCAGAATGCTGGTATCATTGTTCTTGCTCTCCTGGAGAGTACCCTCGAGCTCCTCAATCTCGTTCTGGGTCAACTTATCGGAGACTGGTAACTGTTAGCTGTGATCATGTCGGAGCATCCACAGGGTAGGTACCTTCGCCAGTGACGGAGTGAAGGAAGTCAACACCACCAAAGGTACCCGTGACAATCGGGTAAACATTGCCTCTAGCTCCGTTAAGCTGGATCTGAGTGTCACGGCCGACGTGGGGGAAGATATCGCGCTCGCCAAGCTCAATCAGGGCAAGCTCGCAGTAGTTACTGTGGGCAAAGAAATCTGCATGACACCTCGTAAGCGGGATTCCAAGACTGTTTCAGTCTTCGTGATTGAATAACGTACCCTCCAAGCAGTGCAGACCGGTACCCATTAGGCGCATGGCCTCGTAGAGATCAGCCTCGTTCTTATTGCGGGAGTATCCTCGGGCCAGCTCGATGCAGCGGGCGAACAGGTTGCGAACGTGAGCGGCGGAAGTCATGATTCCAGCTTGCTCGTTCGCAATGTAGTTCTTCATGCCGGACTCGCGGTCAATGCCAAGCTCGACATTTTCGTCGACAGGGGCTCTCAGACGGCGGTCGTACTGGCGGGCATCCTCGTTGTCGGCATAGTTCTTGGGGTTGTCGATGTGGTCCTCGGGGCGGTAGCAGCCAAGGCGATCGGCCGTGACCTCGAACTCCTTGGATCCGTAGCCAAAGGTCAAGAAACCCAAGACACAGAGAAGGAGACGAATGGCCTCGGCGGAGACGGACTTGACGGTTCCGACATCAATGGCTTGAGAGTAATCTCTGAGCCAGTTGCCAAAGTAGACACGGGAAACCATCATCTTGCTGAACTTCTTGCCGCCAATGGCGCGGGCCATGGCGAGGGTAAGGAGGGCATCTTCAATATCGCCGTGGCGCCCTGTGTGACAGGAGAGTTAGAAGACCTGTTCTGCCTGGCAGACGAGGACGGGAAGAAAAGGGACTCACAGTTCTGGCCCTCGACCTTGGAAATGCTGGCAATGTTACCAGCTCCGAAGGCGTAGGTCGGCTGAGCAAGGCAGACCAGCACAAGCAGGCCGACCAGCAGCGGGTAGGACCTGGCGTCGAGCATATTGAGTGACTTGTAACCTCTTGTGATGTGCTCCTCTCTCCTCTTCTGATATTCAGTAGTTTCAATACGCGGTAAGTCTGTAGAGACTGTTTAGTGACTTGATCAAGGTGAAGTGGGGTTTGCACAGAAGCAAAACAAAGTTATGGTGTCGGGAGGGAGGGGGAGGTCATTGAAATAAGGAGAAGGATATGACACAAGCAAGGGGCAGTAAAGAAAAGGAGGGGCTTTGATGAGGGCTGGAGGCGGTGGAGGGGCAACACGACGGCGTAACTGCGTTCTTCCAAGCTTCGGGAGCATGGGGGAGGGGGAGAGACTGGAACAGGAACTGGTTGGAGCTATCAGAAGCCAGGAACATGAGGCGGCTCGAGTGAATAGGAGGGCGCCAACGACAACCTTGGAATGGAGGCCAAGCACAGCACACACTCACCCACGCCTGTGAATGCTGTGCGAATGTCCCATCCAATCTGATCCAGCCCAGTCCAATCCGCCATCTGAGGCTTCATCTTGTCACTGCCCCTCCTTCAAAGTTCACACGT